ACATAGCCTTGCTTTCCCAAAGGTATTTTTTATCCCGGCTAGAATGGACGGCAGTTTCGACCTCCCATCGGTCTTATCAAATGTAAATACGAAGGAAGGTCAGCCCCTTTCACATATCACACAATTTGGTGGAATTTTCGATGAAACAAACATATGTTTTCTATAACAATCGACTACGTTACTTATTTTTCGTGTTTGAGTGGAGTTTCGAGACCAACATTAAATCAGTAATATGAGATGTATTCACCCTATTTCGTTTAAGATGATGAAGGTTTCGTAGTAGAATTTACCCACAATGATATGATTAGAGCTGACGTTTACATTGAATTTCACATAGCCTTGCTTTCCCAAAAGTTGTTCTCATCCCGGCTCGAGTTGACTGCATTTTCGACCTCGCATCGGTCTTATCAACACTCCCAGCGGGAGTCAAACCTTGACAGTACAGAATGTGAGCTTGACGCGGTGACTACTCGGCCACATTTCCAAGAGTGCATTTAGGTGACAGGACAAATGTGAGTATGAATGAAGGTCAGCCTCTTCGACATATCAGACACTTTGGTGGGATTTTCGATAAGGCAAACATCTTTTTGCATTACTTATTTTTCGTATATATAAGCAGAGTTTCGATACTACCAGTAAATCAGTTATATGGGATACATTAACCTTATTTCGTTTAAAGTAATGAAGGACTGGCAGTAGAATATTCCCACAATGATATGAGTAGACCTAAGGTTCCCATTGACGTGTCAAGCCCGCATGCTGAACTGTCACGGTTCGACTTTGCTGGGCCTGTTGAGCAGACTTATGCGAGGTCGAAGCTGCAGTCCACTCCAGCTGGGAGGATAACAACTTTTGTGAGAGCAAAGCTATGTAAAATTCAATGAAAACGTCAGGTCTACTCATAACATTGTGGGAAAATTCTACTAACAGTCCTTCATCATCTTGCTCAAGTTAGCCAAGAGTAAACGATACTTAAGATCCCAATTACTATGCCTAACTTCAAGATAGGCAACCAGCATATTATCGTTTTTCCACAAAGTTCCAGTCCCTCTAGGTCGCCTAAGGTGATGAAGGACTATGCATTCAAAGTCATCATATTCTTATGGCTAGGCCCCAACTCAATAGGCTTTGCTTTTCACATGATACTCCTATCTTGGCTGGACCACAGCTTGGATATTGCCTGGTTCTTATAAACACTTCCATACGAGGTCAAAACTACACTACCTCGCAGCCCGGATGAGGATCTCTTTTGAAAAGAATGGCTTACTGAGGTGATCTCTACTCGTATACTTATGAGGAAATGCAAATTGTACTCATTCATCACTTTATGCCAGCTGGTGGGAATCTATGCGAAGAAAAGTTGCGTTTCGAGGAATCTCCTGTTTCACAATTGTTGTACTTATTTCCACTTCGCGTGAAAGTGTTCCGTGAAGAGATTCGAAGGTTGATTCCACCAGAAGACGAGGGACGATTCTTCCTAACCAGTTGCCGCTTGGCTTTACTGGAACATTCGGAATGACGCTGTTTCCTAGGGAATTTCCTCCGATTGTGCTGAAAAGTTGCTAAGCTTTCGTCTGTCATAGGACGAACATGATTAGAGCAAGAAAACTCTCGACTCGTTAGCTTGAATTTGGATGTGACGATCAT